GAAAAATTCTAGAATATGGATTAAAAGATGCAAGAAATATTTTCATGTTTCAACATTTTGAAGAAAGTAAGGTGGAAACAATTTCGATGTTTTGGGACATAGGGCGGAAATTTGGTTTCATGGGTAAGAAAACCTAGTATGTTTGAATGAGAAATATTTGAGGTAGAATTTTGTAGAAGGTTTGGAGAATTAGCTGGAGTAGACATTACGAAGGAATTCAATAAATTGATCCAAGAAGATATCGATCTCCAATATGAAGAAAAACTTGAAGAAATAAGGTCCCTGTTATTAACAAAAAATCTTGAACTTTTTGAAAAAATTTTTATCTACAGTTTTATAAGTGATTTAATGGAGGAATTTAGACCAACTATGAGGATGCACAAGCCCCGCACCTGACGCATTTGAGTTGGCTGTATGGCAAGAATAAGCAGTAGATATCATCGACCGTCACAATAAATTGAAGTACTCTGCAAATTTTTCCAAAGGAAGTGTTTGCATCATTGAAAATTTCTCTAAAATTTAAAATTTTCAAGAAGTAACACCCCTGAGGGGTCCAAATAATTCAGAATTGAGGGGAAACAATCTTTGTGATAAATGCAGAGCAATATACTTTATGGGGCATCTATGTAAAGAAAAAATAGTTATGGCAATAGAGAACTGTGAAGAAGAGGAAGGAGAAAGTGAAGTGAATAACCTTCTGGAGGACGAGTAGTAGGATAATGCAAAAGGTCTTTGATGTTATCTCTGCAAAACATAGCACAGTATTCTTCGAGTAGCACAATAAAAATAAATAAATAAAATATATTTATATAATTTAAAATAAATAATAACAATTTTCTTTGTCAACGAATATTTGGAAGCTGAATCTCGATCTTGAGAACAAGATTGATGCTCTAGGGGAAGGTATTGTTGCACAAGTAAGAAAATAAATAGAGAATTTGAAAAGTTGGAAGGATGCACGAGGAGAACTGTGGAAGTGTTTGCAAGGAATTGAATTATAGTTGGCCGCACAAGTGGACATTGCTAGAATATGAGAAAACTGGAGGGACACGTGTTACGATCGGAGAGGGGGTATTTAAAACCCTAAAATCCTAGGCGACGAACTGGTTTTTGAACCATTGTCATTTCTTAACGCGGCGAATCAGTTTGACTCTTCATCATTCTCTATCCGCTCGACACGTTCGACAAGAAGATCTCCTCTCGATGGTAGATTTTGACTTCCAGGTGTCAATTGACAATTCGAAAAAAAGAGTTATGTACCATTTCATGTATATAAATAATGGATTATAAACAAAAATTGATCATGGAATGTATTGAAGTTAATCTCACAAATCTATCTTTTATCTCTCTGTGTTCTTCCTCTCTTAGCCTCTTCTCTCTTTGAACTCTTGGCCTCTCTCTTTTTCTCTCTGTTACTTTCTCTCTCCCGAGATTTCTCTCTCTCTCTCTCTTTGTTATTCTCTCTCCTGATATCTAACACTCTTTCTCTCTCTAAAATTCTTTCTCGCTCTCAATCTCAACTATCTTTTTTCTCTCTTTCCATATTTCTTTCTCTTTTTCTTTTAATTTTCTCACTAGTTATTTTAAATTCTTTTATTGTTCAAAGCCCCTGTAAAATACATGTCGAGGCCAGGTCCTAACACACTCCTCGTACTTGATTGAGGGTCGGAGATTGATCTCACATTTTGTTTTGGGAGGATAATTGAATTACTAACTATGATCTCTCAGCAGATGTGCATATGATGTGCTTCAAGAGGGATGAATTCCATTGCCACCTTTTCTTACTATGATGTGTGTTTGATATTTGGACTATACTATTGATATTTTTGGCGTGATGTGGGTATCACGGCTTCTCTCTGATTGTTTTTTTTTTTTAAATTTCTTCACTTAATGGTGTTGGGGCAAAGAAGGGAGCTAGGATCCTTTAGAGAGGTGGTCTTTTTGCTGGCATATGGGTTTTGTAGTTGGAGCCTAATGCTAGAATCTTCAAAATTATTCCTTTCTTCCTATTCCTTTGTAGGCCAAGGCACATGGTCTTCTAGGTATATCCCTTGTCCTTGTTGAAAAGGAATCAGGGTCCAGTTTATGTATGGATTTTTCATTTCTTTGTTCTCCTATTTTTTCTAGGTCTTTCAGAAATTGGTGTTTCTTTTACTTGCATTTTTTCTTCCTCTCTTTTCTAATAATACTTCTTTTGGAATAGAAAAAAAGTGATTGCACCCAACCAATGGTAAGTTGGACAAGATCATCCAGAATTTTATAACTTTATAAATTTATAAATTTAATAATTGTTGTTTCTTTTACTTGTACCAAGGGGGTGGTACCCCCTTGGTACCATTGATTCTTTAATACATTTTTACTATTTTATATTAAAAAAAATTTATAAAAAGTTTTTGTTGTGTTCAAATGCATTACTGTAAGTACATGGATGCTGAATTGAAGACAAAAATATGAGGTAGATCTTTCTGATAGATTTTCGTTTATTGAATATTATTGCATTTCAGGGGAAATCCTCAAAGGATAGACAGCACCTCCTCCAACAAAAGAATAATATTCACTTATGAACAGGTATCTGAAATACTTCTATTGATTAGTATAGTTTTTAGAAGCTTAAATCGCGGTTCTACCCTTTGGATTACTTTCACCATAATTTTTCTTTTTTAAATTGTTACTGTAATCAAGTTAAATAATATATTTTTTTAAAAATTTTCTTTGGCTTGTTTGCCATTGTCTTGTATGAAAAGTTTTTACTTCTCACAGAAAAGCGTTCCTTTGGTGAATTGCTTACCATGTTCTTTCTCTGTTTATCCAGTGTCTGATGTATCTATACCACTATCCTGACGTATGGTATGACTATGCTACATGGCATGCAAAAAGTGGTTCAATAGACGCTGCTATCAAAGTTTTTCAACGAGCTTTGAAGGCTCTTCCAGGTAGTTTGAGTCTTTCTTTTTTCCTTTCATTGAAGAATTTTTTAAGTATGCGTGCAATAGCCTCTCTCTCTGTGTTCTTCCTATATCTGGATAAAATGTTCTTGAAGTGGGTATATACTACTAGGGGTTAGTTGCTTCTTTTTCCAGCTTTTCTTTCTGCAGTTTTAACCTTTTGTTCTTACTACTTTTTTGATTTCCAGATTCAGATCTGCTAAAGTATGCTTATGCAGAGGTGGAGGAATCTCGTGGAGCAGTCCAGGTAGAAAACAAATAATGCATCTCTCCTAGAGTCAATATGGAGCCTGTGAGAGTGTGTTACAAGTTTGTGCCAGTAGCCCACTGGTACATCTTGTGCATTTCATGGTTACTGCAAGTATACCAGCTGTATCATGAGGCCCTGCCTGTTCCTTCGGAATGGCCATCCAATGTCTGTTAAAATGGTTTCTGTGTGCACTGCATGTGCATGCTACTGACGAGTGTGCATATGGTGGTACTAGCTTTAGCTCGAGGGTCAGTGTGTATGCACTTGCTGGGATTGTCAATGGCAACTGCTGGTGCTGCTTCTGCATGCTTGCTGCTATGTATGCATGCTTACTGTTGCTGGTCTGTGCCAGAAATAAATGTTCCTTATGTTGAGTCTGTTTGCATGCATCTTCATGTCAACATGAGCACCTGCTGCTAAGATAATCTTTGATCAGGCACAAGAGCAGGTGTTTTTAAGTTATTAGCTATTGGACTTCTAACCTGCTTCTGTTTTTATTTTCTTGTAGTCTGCAAAAAGTATATATGAAAGCCTTTTGGGAGATGGTGTTAACGCAACTGCATTGGCGCATATACAAGTAAGAAACATGTGGGTTGTTTTTTTAAGTTCCTTTATCCATCTTAGTTACTTGGATTCAGTACAAGGCTCTGATGATGGTATATGTCGAAAGGTCTAGTAATGTATTGCTTAAATCTTTGGCTCCTTGTCATGAGTGTCGAAGTATCAAAAGGGTGTCTGAAAATGTTATAAATGAAGGAATGCATTACCAGATCCGAAAACTGGAATGGGTATTTTATTTTTTTTTAGGATCCGACGTTAAATTCTAACTACACACAAGTTCATGGAGCATCGTCCTTAGCTTTTTTTTTCTTCTTTTTTTTTTCCTGGATCTTGTTTCGCCAACAATCCTCTGGTTACCAACAAATGGTCAATAAAATGATGGAAGATGATGCATATGTATTATTTACTTTTACTTCTTTCTCCTTTTGCTTCAAATACACACCATTCTGATGACAACGGCAGGCCATCTCAGTTACTCATATTTTGATTATATCATGTCTAAACGGGTTCCACAGATAAATGACTGGCAGATTTATTCTGAGTAAAGAGCTCTCAATAAAAATATTTTGTTTAACGACCTTGATGAGCTCATATTTTGTGCCCAAATATAGGGAGACGATATGAAATAGTCATTGTATTATAACCTAACTAAAATATGCAGATATGGAAAACCTGCCTTCCTGGTTCATGAGGTCTCTCACTCATTCTCATGAGGAACATGGCAAGTAGGCCCTGCCTAAAGCTGTTCAAAGGCCGCCAGCCCTTACCAGGCTGCTGGCACTGCTAAATGCTCCAATATGAAGCAAGTTCCGCTGAACACGAAGGATTTAGAAGTGTAGAAAAAACAGTTGAAGCAAGAAAGTGATTGGGTGACTATACACGGGGTGGGTTAGTTTTCTGGAAAAGTTGCGGTTAATAGAAAGAGAGGAAACTCAATACCAACACAAAAATTTGAAGACCATTCTTGGAAAAGTTGGCACTTTGAAATTCTGAACTAAGATAGCAAAGAATAGCAGATAAGAATGAAGCTTTTAGTTCATAAGTATGCACCTTCATATATAATTCTGATGTCAGAACATTTATCAGTAATAAGAAAACTAAGTAAAATTTTAAACCTAGGAAAGGAGAAGATGCATGTGGCCAAGAAAGACTCTATTCAGGTCTTGTGGCTATCCTTCCGGCGCCCAGATTGTTGTTTCAAATTGAGTACAAAAAATATTGATGAGTTCTATCTTTTGAAGATCGTTTATGCTTTTATCATTTTCATGAAAATTTCTTAGAGGCAGTGCCTTGTATTGCTATTGTCTGTTCATTTATCTTCCTTTATTAGCCAATTGATGTATGTAACTGATTTTATTGGACATTATTTTTCTTTTGCATTTTCTTTTATTTTTTGGTTACTAAATTCCCTTTCTCATGAATAGGTTCATTTGATTTGACATCAATTCATAATGTTTTCAACGATGAAAAAGAAATTATTCTATATTCATTTAATCTTTATTTTCATGCTGTCCATTCTACAGTTTATTCGCTTTCTGAGAAGAACAGAGGGTGTTGAGGCAGCTCGCAAGTACTTTCTAGATGCACGAAAATCCCCAAACTGCACATACCATGTATATGTTGCTTATGCCAGAATGGCTTTCTGTCTTGACAAGGATCCTAAGGTACTTTTCTTCAATTTCTAGAAAAACATTGGAATTTTTAGGTTCTTGGGGACAAAGAACATATGGACATTTTTTGTGAATGAGTAAGTAGTGAAGAGGTTAAGACCATCAATTTTTGTCTGCTGCTATCTATGTCTTATTGTCGCAACATCCTTTTTGTTATGGGATATATTGAGATGTGCATCTTATCTACAACTAAGAAAATATGGATTGGGAATTGCTGGAATAATACATTCTTTTGTAGTGTAGTAGTTAAGTTACAAGCCTCTAAGGCTTGAACTAGGGGCTATTCCCATTAAAGTTTAGGTTCCACCAAGTTGAAGGATTGCGATGGATAGCTTACACTGCATATAACCAAGGAAAGTTTCATTCAACATGCTTTTACATTTTTTTCACGTTCGTGCAGATTGCACACAATGTCTTCGAGACCGGATTGAAGCGCTTTATGCATGAGCCAGTTTACATTCTTGAGTGAGTGTAAATTTTTTTTCTTATTATAAAATGTTAATGCTTTGGTTGTATTTCTTCTAGGTCTTTTTTGAATTGGTTCTTGTATAATTGGAAAGTCCTACTTATTCACTATAACTACTTATATTAGTTGACTAGAAATTCCTATCAGTTTTCAAGTGGTATAAGTTGGTCGTGCATTTTTGTGAAACAGCAAGTCTTCATCAGAACTCTAGTTTTTTTTTATTTTTTTTATTTTTTTTATTTTTCTTTTCTGAGTGGGCCTTTTTCATCAGAACTATAGTTTGTGAAGAAAAACCCTGTTTGTAGAAGGTGACTAAATTTTCCTTTTTTCTTTTAGTCACGTACAAACTAGTTGGGACCCTTTCAAATATTTCTTTCATTTAGGAGGTAGGTCGCATGAATATGTTGCAGTTCTCTAGTGGGATGGTGTAATGTCATGCCTTCAAATGTAATGTGGCCTATGAAGTTACTCTGGACATGGCAGCAAGTCGTGCAGGTGCAGTTTAAAGCAGGAAACCAGAAGAGAAAAATAAAATGGAGCAAGAAAGTAGAAAAATCGTGCAGGTGCTGGAGGTTCTGTTGGCTGCGCGGCTAGTTGTCCGCACAGTTGGCTCACGGCAAACAGGGTAAAATGCATGGTGGAGGGCAGCAGGGAGCCGGAATGGTGCTGCTTTATGCGGCTGGGTGTGGTAGGGGCCTGTTGGGATTACTTTGCACGGCTGGGTTTCGGCTATGAAGGCTGGTTGCGGCATGATTGACTATGAAAGCCTGACTAGTTGTTTTTAGGTTTTCTTGTTTTTCGGCAGCGAAGGATAGTTAGGGTTTGAAGAGGAAGAAGAAAGTTCTTCCCTCGAAAAATTTATCCTATAACTCTGATAGCATGTAAAAGAGTGTAGAAGATATGATATTTTTTTATTGAATAATACACCATTATTTTATACATAACCTTTTTTTAAGATAAAATTATTTATGCATAATCTTAATTGCCAGAAGAGGAAATCCTAGGAAAATAAGGAGGCTAATCCAATTAGCCTATTCTCGGAAAAAACTATCTTTACAACTAGGAAACAAGTAATGCAATTAGTTATGCTTTCCAATAGGTGGTAAACTAGAGATTGTCTCCCCATGATCTTTTCTTGGATCATAACAAATAGACAAAGGTACCAGAAGCCTTCTCAAATTCAGCGGGTGATTACGACAATAACAGGAAATTTCATCTGGTTAATTGGAATGAGATTAAGAAACTGATTGCTGATGGTGGTTTGTGGCTGAGATCCATCAAAACTCTTAATGGAGCTCTTCACGGATAATGGATCTCGAGGTATTTCAATGAGCCTAACAACATTTGGAAGGACATCATGAGCTGTAAATGGTTTGGAAACAACCATTTTGATGCCACTATTCTGGAAGCCTCTCTTCATGAGATTATCAAGAGTGAGGATTCTCCCCTTTGCAGCCTCCCATGCAAAAAAAGAAATTCTGGGAGGAGCAAGTGATTTCCAAATCAGTTTGTAAGGGAAATTACTCGAAATTCTGCTCTGGGTACCACCGAGAAATCTGTAGAAGGACTTGATAAAGAATTTACCGTTTCTGTTCAGGGTCCATCTGAGGCAGTCATTATGGAGTTAAGCTTAATGTTGAATAGAAGTTGGAGGAGATTTTCATATTCCTGCAACTCCCAGTCCTGTAAATATCTGGTCACCACCATGTTCCATGTAAAAGGATCAGTGTCCCTGTAAACATCCTTAATGAAAGAATTTTTGTCTTTTGCTATGGCGTAAATGAGAGAGAACCGCGTCTGGAAAGGTTCCTTACCATGCCAAACGTCCTGCCAAAAGTGAATGATGTTGGCCCTTACCCACATTCCAGTCAGAACCATCTATGACAAATTTAGGGCTGAGCAACATACTTTTCCACATACTTTTCCCATAGGGATATTTACAGGTGTCCTTTGTGTATGCAAAACAATGAGACTTGCAATCACCTTCTTGGTTGGTGTCCGGTTGCCTTTAAGCTTTGGTCTACAATTTATAACCTTCTGGGCATTCAGTGGGTTATCCCCGGGACTGTTTTCCAAGAACTTCTTGCTTGGGAAGAAATTAGAACGAAACATACAAGTCATAGATTTATCCCATTATCCATTATTTGGGTGATATGGATGAAAGAAACAAAAGAATTTTGGAGGACTTAGTTACCGATTTTGATACTATCAAGGATAGATGGCTACATTTTTTTGGTTCTACTATTCTTGGCCACAACGTAGATAGTTTAGAGAATTTTGGATTTATTATAGATATATTTACAGATCTGTAAATTCTTTTCTTTGTTTTTGTATATGGGTTGCGCCCCCTTGGCGCCTACCGTTAATACAATTTCTCTCACTTTTATTTCAAAAAAAAAAAAAAAATTCAGGGGGTATTGGTGTTGGGGCAGTTGACTTGATAAGAAATTTTAATGCTTGGAGGTAAAAGAATATGCAAACTTAACCTAGTGTGTATCTTAATGGGGAAGACTTTCTAAAGGCTTAGATTCACTGGCTTGGAAACTTAGCCCGAAGTGGACATTTTCAGTAAAGTCTTATTAGTTCCCTCTGGCCAGAAGTAGGACTAATGAAAATTTTGGATGGAAATTTGTCTGGAAGGTCAAAGCATCTTATAGAATAGCCCTTTTGCAAGTTGTATCCTTACTTTGGACAATCTAATCAAAAGGGAGGTCATAGCATACAAATGCTACTTATGTAAGAGAGGTACAAAGCATGTGAATGCATCTTCTCCTTTGTTTTTCTTTTTTCATACTGCCTTTTGTGTTTGTCATATAGTCTTATGGGGGGGGGTGAATTGGGTTGTGACATGTTTGACCAAAGAGGAGATATGGGCTTAGAGGGCATATATGGGGATGAAGCTATAATAATAATTTAGGCCTTATCCTTTTCGCTACTTTATGGGTTATGTAGAAAGAGAGGAATGGAAGAGTTTTGATGGTATAGAATGGTCATTTAATAGAATAAAAGATACTTGGTTTGAGGTCCTACTTTTTCTATTAATGGTCATGCTCTTTATACTAGTAAAAATTTGAGGGACTTGATTGATATGTTTTAGAGTTTTTGTATGCAGGTCATACCCCCTTAGTGCTTTATAATACTATACTTTTTTCTTGAAAAAAAGCAAGTTGGAACCAAAGCTAATAATTTTAAGTTATGATATTAAATTGATGTAGTACAGTTGACTAGGTTTAGAGGATTGACAACAACCTTAAACCCCGGTGGTTAGACACTCAATTCAATGAAAGGAAATCAGTAGTTCTTGCTTATAGCAGTCTGTTTAATAATGACGAACCACCCATGTATTTATAGTGTTTAGATAGCCTGTTATGACTAGAATCCTTAAAAGGGAATACAGTAAGAAAATAATACAACTAACTAAAGAAAAACTAAAATCCTAACAAAATATAAAGGAGTTGCTAAACTATAATAATCATTGTAGTAGTCCTAAATTAGTAGAAACTATGCGAGATGATCAAACTTCAAGTTCTCTAGTATTTTTTGTTCATCAAGTTGTGTCTCTTCTATGTTAATACTGTAGCTTCTCATCGTTTTAGTTATTTCCTTTTTAATTCTGCAGATATGTGGATTTTTTGTCTCGATTAAATGATGATAGAAATATCCGTGCTTTATTTGAGCGGGCACTGAGCTTGCTACCACCAGAAGAATCTGTTGAGGTATGCTTCCTAATATCAATATCTATAAGATAAAATGGAGTTATAATTTTATTTCTTGTAAGAATGTTTCTAGTCTTGGCATTGAAATTTTTGTACATTGCTGTATAAAATTGTGAGATCAATATTGGATGCTTCGTCGAAAAAGTTGATTTAGTATGATTAAATCTAACTACTTGTCGTAAGTATGAGAGACGTTTATCTTAATATAGGATTAAATTGAAATTTTTTGGACAAATTACCAAATTAATTTTTAAAGTTCCACACTTTTTACAATTTGGTTCATGATATTTTTGTCATTATAACTTGACCCATGATGTTTTCCATTTATTTTATACACCTAATTTTTTTTCCATTTTTTAACGAAAAAAGGTAAAATATTGAAGACATGTTTGGACACTGAAAAAAATAAATAAAAAGAATGACTTTAACTAATTAATTTAGTTAATAAATTAAAATAATATTGACGTACTTTTGTTCTTATTGCTTTATTAATTTAATGGAAGGAAAATAGGTGTTCGAAACAAATAGAGAACATTGGGAAACAGATTATAACAAAAAGAATATTAAGAACCAAATTAATTGAATAATTTACCAAATTTTTTAGTGGGTAAAGCTTATCTCCTTTGTTGAAAGGTATAGAGGTTCTGGAAGATTGTTTCTTCTCTTTACGGTTGAGTAGGTGTGTCCACCCAACATGGAGATTTTTATTTGTACTACATCTTGGGGAATATAGAAATTCAAAGGGAGCACTAGATGTTGTAGAAAGAGGCAATATTTGCTGGTTTGTGGGTCGTTGGATTTGAAAAATGTTATCGTCCTTATTAGAATCTAATTATGAGATTTTATTGACAGTATGAGCTCGTTAAGAAATAATCTAATGATCTCTTGAGTAGGGCAAGTTCTCAAAACTTGTAATTAATTATTCCTCCATATTCAGTCAATGAAATACAGTTTGGTTTTTTAGTACAAGGAGAAATAGCTATCCTGAAGTTATTCTCAGAACTCATAACTATCCAGATTCCTTATCCTAGCCTTACCCTTTCTTCCCTTTTGCCACACACCCTACTGCTCACGAATACAGCAAACAAGATATAGAGAAGCAGTTATTTCTGGAGTTATTTCCCAGAACAGCATTGACTACCCATTTATTTCTCCCTACTTTTCTCCTGCTAACGCTCACCATACTCCATAAAACTATAACAAGTAAACCTGCACATTTGCACCATTATGCAACACTTGCACCTAGCCAATCAACCCATAAACAAGAGATATAATATTTCACATTCAACTGTCTATTAGTTACAGAATTTCTTCTGCCTTCTTTAATACACCTTATAGAAATGTGTTATTTTTCTACTTATGTTCTTTACCCTACTTAAAATGACACTTGTCCTCAAGCACAAATTTCCTGCTGCTACTACATTTTCTGATTTTGGCAGTGCTGGAATTTTAGAATTTTCTCCATTGCAAGAAGTCAGTCTTCCACTTTTAACCAGAACAACCTTTTTACAGTGTTGACCGATTAAAACTTTTTATTACAATTAAAACACAATCCTTGTGCTCGCTGATGATTAATCTCCTGAATGAATAACTTCTTCATTGCGGTGGTGCACGGCTCTGGAGGACATCCAGAGCTGTAATATGGTGGTGGCTGTGGCAAAAAAAAAAAAAAAAAAAACACAGGGTAGATGCACCAGACAGACTGGTGCACCCTTCATACTTGCGGACCAGACTAATGGTGCTTGTCAAATCACTGGAATTCTATAATTATACTTCCATCACAATGTATCCTTCAAACCACTTAAAAAAAATTCATATTTTTTGTTTAGAAATTAAGAAACTTGCCTGCGCTAAAAGGAGTTTGAATTGGCACTAATATTCTGCCACTCTTTCACGCTGTTTTAATTCGCTTAATTTTCTCATTTTGTTTGGACCGAATCAAAGATGACATAAATTTTTGAATTATGTTCAGGACAAAAAGGTTTATCTCTTTCCAATTTAAGGAATGGCAATTGTGCCTCACTCTCTAAATAAAATGAAGCCAATGAAACTTTTCTATTTGCTGTAGTTTTTTTATGTTTGAAAAAATGTTCACATCTATCTACCAAAGAAAGAGGTTAAACGGAACTACCAAAGCATGGAAAATCAAGTTTGCTATAGTGTGGTAGGAAGGGTTTGTTGCGAACAACAATTGGCTGAAGATGAGTGCGCGTTCTAGGAGCTTGTGGTGAGTGATTTGGTTGGGAACTTCCCTCCCCAGGTTCCTTCTTGACAGTTTGGCCAGAGAATAATTCCTGAACAACCAGCTAAAATCCAAACTTTAACTGATGTTCCTCCCTTTCCTCATGATAGGTCTTCAAAAAGTTTTCAGACAGAGAATATAAATCGATCATAATGATTGACTCTAAAATTAAATTGTTATGGTCCTTACTTAGGATTTAATTATGAGATTTTGTTAATAGTATGGACTTGTTAAGAGATAACTCAATAATCTTTTCAATACGGTGAGTACTCAAAGATTGTAAGTTAATTCTTCCTCCATATTCTGTCAATAAAGACAGCTTTGTCTTTTAATGCAAAGATAAGCAGCTGTGCTGGAAGTTATTCTTATAACTACTCATAACTACCCATATTCCTTATCCTACCTTTACTGCTTCTTCCCTTCTACTACACATTCTACTGCTCACCGATACAACACATCAAAATAAAGAGAATTAGTTATACTGGCAATTATTTTTTAGAACAACATTAACTACCCATCTGTTTCTCTCTGGTTTTCTCCAATTAAAACACAATACTTACATTGAAATATAACAATAAACCTAGAAAATCACACTATTATGCAGTAGATACACCTATCTAATAAAACCATAAACAAAACAGATAATACCACATATACAACTATCTACCAATAACATAATTTACTCTTCTTAATGCACCTTATCAAAAGGTGCTATTTTTTCTACTTATGTACTTAAGAAAAAAAAAAAGAACTACAAGATTCCTCAAGCATCGTTTTCAACCGCCTTACATGGTCTTTGATAGGATAGTACTCTTTGTTTCACATTAGGTGAGAGGGTTTTTCTAAAGGTGCTTTACCTTCATTAGAAAGAGATTGGATTCTAATTTTTGTTCTAAGACTTTGTATTTTTGTTTTTGCATCTTTTGTTTCTGTTTCTTTCAATTGCTCAATATCTAATCTTCTCCTTTCTATAATTTTTTTTTCCTCATCAGTTTATTAATAACTTCATCTTGATCTAAGGACTCAAATTGGAAGATTTCAGTGTTCTTTTTCTACTTTTATCTTAAAGGTCTATTAATGGGAAATCTGATTATTGGATGGAAGAATTTAAACGAGTAAGCCACCAACATTCATAATGCCTTAAGTAGTTACTCAATAGTGATTTGGGAAGCCAAGAATAAGAAGAAGCTTTTGTCCCTTGTTCCTTATGCATATATATTATTTTACCAATCGTAGCTGCAAGAGTAAGAGTTAAAACATGGTTTCATAACAGCACTTTAGAAGAAGAATGCTCCCTCTAACTTAAAGTTGTTCGTTTGGATAACTATTCTCAATAGATGTAACGTTAATGATTTAATTCTGGCATGCAGACCCAATAATGCTCTAATTTTGATCGTGTGTATTGCCTTTTCATATGTTTGAGTCCCACGTCTCTTGTTTCTGTATTTTGAGGTGGCTTGGCCGCCTTGTGCTAGTATTTGGTTTAGCACTTTTGCTATTAACTGGGTCTCCTTCCATCTCTTCAATGTTTCACTTCCTCCGTCCTCTATGGTTTTTGTAAGAATGGGGAGAATTTCTGATAGTGTGTGGATGTTGTGGTTGAAGAGAAATACTAAGCCCACAGAAAATCATTTGCTTTGAGATATGGCGCTTTGTAGCCTCTGTTTGGGGTTGCACTTACTGTCCTTTCAGAGATGTCTCTTCATCTTATTTATAAAGATATTGGTGTTCTGTTATTTATTTATTTTTTTCGTTCTCTTTCTACTTTTTCTCTTATTATTTGTTGATATATTCTCCTCCCCCTGAATAATAATATTCTTCTTTGATATAAAATATAAAAAAAAAGTATGTAATTAGGTCAAAGGACATTAGGATACATATACCCTATAAATTAATATAACCTATATATATAGAATCATGATATTCAATAAAATACATACACAACCATTCTTGATAGTATCAGAGTTTTAAGAAAAAAACTCTAGTCCTCCTTCACAAGCCCTGATTGGCATTCATTGCCGAAATAAGTTACAAAAATCTTAAGGGCTTGCCTCATTTCTGGCCACCACAGGCTAGCTGCTGACGCTCCACAGGCTAGCTGCTGACGCACCACAGGCCTGCTTCCAGCACTAGGAACCAGCCATCATCATCGGCATCAATCCTCCAATGTGCATAGGCGGCTGTGCCCACAGCCAGCCACGACTCCTCTTACACCTTGGCATATGCCTAACTTTCCACACATTTCGTCCAAGCCACTGAACCTCTGTGCCACCTTTGTCCAGCCATGCACCACCTCCTTGATTAGCAACACTTTGTGTGGTTTTATATCCAGCGCACTCAACCACCCTCCATACCCTTGCTTCCCTCCGCCAAATCAGTAACATACTTCTTGTGACTTTTACATCTGCCCTTAATTGTCATAACACTGTAAATGTCAGAGGTTACATCCGAAAGTACTGGGATCAATTCTCATGTGAGAAATTCTGCTCAAAATAATAGTGAATTTTAGCCAATCTAAATTGTTTATAGTTTCAATAGGAAGGAATACTTGAGTTGGTAACAATTAATTCGGATCACACTCAAGTGAAAAGGAAAACTCAATCACCTCCTGGGCATTAGACCAAAGTCGGGAGACCCAACTTTTGATATATAGGATGAGGAAGACTCAACGATTATGGTATTACTCTAGAATTCTATGTTACCAGAGATAAGTAAAACTGTCATGTTCTCGTACAAATCAAAAGAAGTATGAGATATGACCAGGTAAACTTGTTCCAAAATCAGAGGTGCAACCCATATTTATGATTTAAATATCAAGACATGGTCCACAAAGTAAGAAAGAAAGGCCAGTTATTGAATGCTCTTAACATGTTAAGAGGGTGGTGGCAGGAATTAGGTCATTGCTATAGCCGTACTAAGGATTGCAGCAAGAATGCGTTCCTTCTCAACCACTTTATGGATAAAGACACTACCTCTTAGTTTTTCACAGGACTGAACCAAGAGTTTGATCAAAAAAGGATCCAAATCTTGGGTAAAGACGAAATGTCATCACTAAATGAAGTAATTGCTATTGTATATACGTAAGAGAGTAGTAAATGGATCATGTTAGATTCTTGGCCTACTAATAGCTCAGCTTTGATCTCTAAATGCTCCAAGCATGCTAATAGACAAAATAGTAAACCAAGCAGAAAACTTAGAGCCTAGTGCCGATAACAAGGATAACCTTTAGTGTATATTTTGCAAGAAACCCAAACACACTAATAAACACAAGTGTTGGAAGCTCTATGGCAAGTCTGATACCTTATGTAAGGAGTGGTGATACAACAACACTCCTAAGAAGTTCTGCAAATAGGGCCATGTAGCCAACATAAAAGAGGAAGAAAAAACCAATAATTTCAATAAATTCAAAACTAAGATCAAATGACTTTGAAGCAGATTACAGGTACAAATTTGATAAGGCACTCATGTATGCATTCTTTCTCACATGGTTTAGATGCATTGGATAAACCATTTGAAAACTCATTGATAGTAAAGGACCACTGATCATATGACTAATATTTTCGAATACTTTCATACTTACATTCCATCACTCCATGGTAGGAAAACTATCACTGTAACTGACTCTTTAACCACCATTGTTCGCAACGACAATATCAAGTCGAGTCCTACCCTAATTCTAGAAAATGTGTTATATGTTCTTAAGCACCATATAAGGCTTGTGCCAGTAAGTAAATTATCGGAAAATTCGAACTGCGATTTCTTTGTTCTTACCATGTTTTAGGATCTGAACTTGAGGAAGATGATTGGACGTGTTGAGATTCGAAATAGGTTGTACTACTTAGATGCACTTGGTGGATCTCGCTCTGTTATATCTACTGACCCTAAGTACAAGTCTTGGCTCTATCACAAAAGATTTGACATCTATTTTTCTCAGTTTTATAAAAATTTTGATTATGAAAATTACTGCGAGTTTGTGAAACATAAGCATGTAAAATTTCCTACTAGCAATAAAAATAAGTACTTTTTCATTTTCTTTAATTCATAGTAATGTTTGGAGATCATCCCACATTTCTAATATTTTTGGAACTTGGCAGTTTGTCGTTTATTGGTGATTGCACTTGGAGTATATGACTTTTCTTACTTAAATTCAAATTTGATGTTAACCACATAATACCCTAGTGTTGCCCCCAATTTGGAACCCATATAAAATGGTTTAGCACTAATAATGTAAGAGATTTCTTTAATCACATACTTTCATCATTTTTCTACCAAAAGGAGTATTCATGAATAATCGTGTGTTCATACTCTATAACAAGACGAAGTGGCAAAAATATAAGAATGGTTACCTCCTTGCAACTACTAGAGGTCTTTCTATTTCAAAACCATGTTCCGAAATGTTATGGGGCCAAAACAGTCCTTACAACCACATATATTATCAATCACTTACCCTCCAATGTGCTAGATTTTAAAAGTCCTCCTATCACTATCTTCATATTTAACCTAGAATAAGTGGTATAAATCATCTAGTTCCATGAGTATTCGGGTGTGTGGCATTTGTTTATATTCATTCGTCCCATAAGGATAAATTTGTTCCACAACCTTAAGTGTGTTTTTGTGGGGTACTTCACTCTTCAAAAGGGTATTAATGTTACCATCCATCTGTGTTAAAGTTTTATGTGTATGTGGATGTGGATGTTATCTTTGTTGAATAAGATTCATATTTATTAGATTTATTTTTAGAGGGAGCCTATATTAGAAGTTAGGGATACCAAGTTCTTGACTGATTTCATCTACCACCTTACCACATACTCAAACACTATCTTAAGAAAATCCAGAGAGACCATCAAAGAATTCACCCATTCAAGAAATTATACCTGACTCAGGTTCACCTAGGTGCGTACAAGGAGAAAATAAATGAGTTTTAAGCTAAAGCAGGTGCAAGAATCTGACACAAATTCTGAGCTTGATGTAAGCCCTAGAAACCCTACACAGTCTGATAATGATATAACAATTACAATTTATAAAGGAACCAAGGAAGGCGTTAAGTATCTCATTTATCATATCTCACAATTTGTATCATTTGATAAATAAATATTCATAATCTCATAGAAATTTTTTTACAAGCTTACACATGAAGGCTATCCTTAACACTGTATCTGAGGCATTATCAAATGAGAAATGAAAAAATGTCATGAATATTTAAATATAGGCACTAGAGAGGAACTAGACATGAAAAGTGGTGAACTTGCATAAAGAAAAGAAGTCTGTATTTGCAAATAGTTGTTTACAATAAAACAAAAATGCAAATGAGATAATAGATGTATAAAGCAAGACAAGTGGAAAATGGGTATATCTAGACCTACGGGATAAATTATTAAACATTTATTCCAGTAAGTAAGACGAACACAGTGCAAATCTTGCTATTTGTAGTTGCTTATTTTGAATGACAATTGAAAATTTTCGATATGAAAAATATATTCCTGCATGGAGATCTATAAGATGATCTCTATATGGAGATCCTGCCAAGATTTGACAAGGGAACAAGACCATATAAGCTAAGTAAATTGAAGCAGATGCTCTATGGACTTAAGAAATCACCTAGAACATGATTTGACAGATCTACGATGGTGATGACAAACTTGGGATAGAAAAAGGCTCAGGAAAATCACATTCTGTTTATCAAGTACTCTAAGATATGAGTAATTACAAACCTCCTAATATATGTTGATGAAATTATTGCATAGGATATGATGAAAAAAGAAAATTAATTCTCAGGCAATACTTGATTAGAGAATTCAAGATCAAGATGTTTAGTAAGTTGAATTACTTTATTTGAATTGAAGTTGTCTGCTCAGAATTTGGGATCATAAATACATTCATGATCTATTAAGAGATACTTTTAAGATAGCATGTAAGCGAGTTATACTCCTATTGATCCCAATCATAAATCGAGACTAACAAATGAGAATACACTAGTGGATAAGGAGATGTATAAGAGATTAGTTGAGAGACTAAATATATCTGACTCACACAAGACCAAAATGTTAAAGAGAGTATGTAATTGTTAAAAGCTATTAGAGTAAAATACACTCTTATTTAATTAATGTAACTAATTGTATATTTCCTTTTTTATTTTAGAAAATTTGTATATATGGGGTTATGATATTACTTTTGACATAAAATACCTAGGAGATTAGGTATCGGATACACCTAGGATAAGCTATTTCCTATTTTGTTGGCCACCAAACTAATGTGGAATCATGTGCTTATCATGTTGGTCAACCACATTATCAAAGTAAGATGGGAATAACTTCCTTCAAAGACAAAGGTGTTTGCATGGACTGTGGCTCTCAACCGGCTTGTTACCAATGAGATGTTGCAATTATGTGGACCAAATCGTGTTCTTTCACCAAATGTGTGCAGGTTCAGTACTAATATGCCTAACCATATGTTTTTGCGATATGGTACCACATAAAAGTTGTGGACAAGATTGTTTGATATATTTGGACTGATTTGGATTACTCCACCCTCTATTGACTGCTTTTCGAGTTAATCTTCATATATTTGAGAATTGTTTCTCGACACACTCGAACATGTGGGAGCTCATGATGTTTTGGATAAGTATCATAACACTGCGCTTTTCATATTACATAGAAATTGGGGGCAAAATTTTTCCCCAAGGAGTTAATTATTTAATCTATTTTCTCGTTCAGTTCTTGTTATTGTTTCTTGCTCTGTCTCATTGTTGGAGGATATCTTGTTCTCCATGCTTGTAGTTAGACTAGTATCATCTTAATAATACTTCTAATATATAAAAAAAAGTTCGGAATACCAACACATGAGATTTTGTATTTCGTGGAATTTTAGCTTTTAGATTACTTTCATTAGAAATAGAAAGTATATTAGTATAATGATTATTTTGTGGCAACTCTGTATATTGCCATTGTTTTTAGTCCTTGCAATTGTCGGTTGGCTTTCTTTTGCTTTTTTTTTACTTGTTCTAAATCCTATTCCAGTATGCTGCATCACTAGGGTGAGAGAATATATATAGGGATTGTACGAAGATCCAGTCATCTTCTTCCATATTCCAATTCTGATCAGCAATATCATACTGTAACTGGTTCAAATGGATTTTATCTTCTCTTTCAGGTCTGGAAGCAATTCATCCAATTTGAGCAAACATATGGTGATCTTGCTAGCATGTTGAAGGTCTTAAGTTTGTTGTTTTATCTTACTTTATAGTGGTATCCCCTTTCAATTTCGTAGCTCCTTTCCACTTGTTTTGCCTTTTATTTTGGCACTTTATAATTCTTTTGATAAGAAAAAGAAAGAAGGATTTAAGTATAGAAGATAAGAAATCTCCTAGAAAGTTGAAGCAAATTCGAGAAACAAAGAAATGCAACAATGAAGTAGTAGCTCAGTTGTGACAGATAATAATTTGGAGGAAACATATATAGGATAATTATTCCATAAACTCCGAAATCTTCACTTTGAAAGTCTGCTGCTTATTCTTCAATACAGTCAATAAATATTATTATCATTCTTATTCTAGGTTGAACAAAGAAAAAAAGAAGCTCTTTCCCGGATGGGTGAAGAGGAAGCATCGACCTTAGAGGGCTCGCTGCAAGATGTTGTCTCGCGGTACAGTTTCATGGATCTCTGGCCCTGTTCATCTAAGGATCTGGATCATTTGGCTAGACAAGAGGTACTTCTGATGGGAAAATGACATTTTTCCATTCATAATGGAGAATGCCACTTATTGCCAATTTGTTCTTTGTAATTAGGAATATGTTTTATTTGATTGTTCTGCTGTATGAACTGATAAAAAGAATTTTTTTATTTGCAATATTTACAGGATTGCCATGCATGCTTAATGATTTTCTACATGTTTGATCATAAGTTCTATTATTCCTTGGAAATGGAAATACTGTTGGATGAAAATGTTAGGTGCCTCGCATAACTATTCAGTGATTACTTTAGTTTTTTATTTTCTGTAAAAATTCTAACCATTAAGGATCCAACTTATGTGTAGTGATCCAAAAAACATCAGTTGGGTGATATTATTGTTAATCAGACTGGTTATGATAAGATTCATATTTATCTATCTGAAAACTTGGTCCTCTATGAAATTTTGCTGTTGTAGAAGGAACTCCATTACTGATCCTCTTATTATATAGAAATTCACTTTTAATGGGATAACATATGATAGTAAGTTCTGTAACTATATGGCCATTTTCTCCTATTGATTCTTGCATGTGTTTAGTAACGTTACTCTCTTTGCAGTCTGCATTGACTTTTGTGTCTATTGTGTGAAAGACTGCAACAACTGCAAGTGTGATAAGACATAACATCTTACTGATTGTCATTGAAGCCCAAGTTTTTTCGGCGCGAAGGTTCTTGGGTTATAAATCAAGCAAATCCTGTTTTTTTTTGTTGTTGTATAAATCAAGCAAATGTTAAGTGCTCTGTTTTGCTTGAAGTGCCAATGGCTGGTTTTTTCTTTTAAATTTCTTATGTTTATAATATGTAGTTGAGACTTCTATATTAATTTCTTAACTTAGTTTACAGGAAAATTGTTAAATCAAAATCAATATATATTTTAGCATTTCTTAATGGAAACAAAGGGTAGTCGCTTAATTTTTTTAAAAAGGGAAATTATTTATCTAATAAAAAAGTAGGGGGAGTAATTTTTTTCTTGAAGGAAAAGGGAAGAAAAGAGACTTTCGTTGTCTTTCTTTAATGTCTTTAATTTTCTTCTACTTTCTCTCCAGTGGCTAACTAAAAATATCAATAAGAAAGTGGAGAAACCAACTCTCTCCAATGGACCAGGGAATTTAGGTATCATTTCTTTTATAAAAATGTTGCCGGACTTTTTGATGTTTATACTGTATTGGATATTCGTGGTAAACTCTGGTATGATTTTGTGTAGATAAGGGTTCTTCACCCTCAATGACCAACTCAAGTGTGTCTCTGAAAGTCGTTTACCCAGACACGTCTCAGATGGTTGTTTATGATCCAAGGCAAAAACCAGGTCACTATTAATAAATTTTTCAGATCAATTATATTTAATAGAAAAAGTTGTTCATCTCATATTCTATAGTATTATCCACTTCACGGGAAAGCTATGGCTTGATAAGGAGAAGCAGGGAATTTAGAAAGAGACCTCTCAAGTTTGAAAAGAGACTAATGATTTGTTTGTTTCTTGAAATTAGTTACGTTTCATTTGATACTTAAAATTTTTTTAGCTTCATGCTTTAAATTCACATGTTTTATGTCTTCATTAATTAAAGTAAGTAAAAATTATGTATTTCTGGAAGAATCAAGCATAAACAAAATTTTTATAAAACACTAAAAGCAACATTCTAAATTTTCTAATGTTATTATTATTTTTACTATCATTCATCTTATTTTTAACAAACTTTTATATTTCTGTGAATAGAATACATATATGTTTAGCATAGTGTCAGAAGTCTTAGACATACCTCTGATCTTGTGAAAGTTTAACGGAGAAGAAGATGAAGAACGAATAAGGAAGAAAATAGTAGAATTTATATTGATTTCTGATGTGTATACAATCGAGAAATGGGCCATTTTATAGCCTAAATACATTAAATAAATTCATTATTCAAGGCGGAATCAAGCTTGCTGGAGTTCCGTGGTCGGAATCGTGTGATGATGATGATCGGCGTTGTCTACGGATGGATTTGGAAAGCAGAGGTGTCGGCTATGGAGTCTGTTAGGGTTGCTCAACCCTAATTCCAGTTGTTCTTCATTTTTCCTGTTCTACTCTTGTGTGCATATTTTCTTTTTGTGCCCTTTTGTCTATAATAAACTCTAAGGGGTTTCTTGACAATACCTTTTCCTTGATCAGTAACCTTGTCTTTAAGGTTGAGATGCGGGAATTGGTGTTGTAAATACTCATAATCTTTCCATGTGCATTCTTCGGTTGGAGCTCCTTCCCAATAAATAAGGACTTGATCTACGAGTTGATTGTAAGATCTGTTGGAGTTGTATACTGATAAAGTCTTTTGTGGTCTGTGGGGGTAAAACTTGTTGGATTTCCTGTGTGTCGGGAATGTATTTCTTGAGTTGAGACACATAAAAAATTAGGTGAATCCTTGATTCTTCGGGTAGCAGGAGCTTATATGCTACATTCCTAATTTTTTGAGAGACTTGGAAGGATCCATAGTATTGGATGGATAATTTGGAGTCTCGTCCCTTCTTGAGTGTTCCTTGTTTTAAAGACTGTAGTTTGAGCAATACCCAATCATCTATTTCAAAACTTCTCTCACTTTGATGATTATCTGCATATTGCTTGATTATGACTTATTTTTGTAAGAGCTGTTGTCGTATGGTTCTGTTGGCCTCTTCACGTTTCGTTAGGACCATCTCTATGAAGGGTAATGCAGAGTCAAATTCTATAGAGTTGGAGAAATGTGGGGGTGGGTATCCTTAGAGTTCTTGGAAATGTGTCATCTTCAAGCTTGAATGGTACAAAGTGTTATACCACCATTCAACAGTAGCTAACCATTTGACCCAAGTCTTCGGTTGTTGGTTAGCCATGTATCATAAGTACATTTTCAGACACAGATTGAGTCTGTCTTGTTTATCCATCAGTCTGGAGGTGATATGCAGTACTAAAGAGCAAATTTGTTCTTACTGTCTTCATTAGTTCCTTCCAGAATAAACTGCTAAATATTTTATCTTGATTAGTTACTATGACCTGTGGAGCCCGTGTATCTTGTGTACTGTCTCCATGAAACTTCGGGCTACTCCGAGTACAATGAAGGGATCTCGTAAGGGAATGAAATGCCATACTTGGTGAAACGGTCCACTACAACTAATATAGCGTCCTTGCCTAATGACTTGGGCGATTGTTCAATGAAGTCTATGGATATGTGGGTCCAAGTGTGTGGTGGAACAAGGAGTGATTGCAGTAATTCAGGAGTGGGAACTCGCTCTGTTTTGCAACGTTGACAGATATCGCATTGTTGGACCCATTGTAAAATTTGTTTCTTCATATTAGGCCAACAGAAATGTTGTTTGACTCTCTCATAAGTAGCTCGAACTCCAGAGTGACCCCTTACTGCTAAATTGTGGCACTGGTAAAGCAGTTGGTTGCGAAGTTCCTTTTTATCGTCTATGACCAACCTCCCTTTGTATCTCAATATCCCTGTTGTAGGGAAAATGGCGGTCTGCTGTTATGAGAAACCATTAGTTCTGATAGCAGTTGTTGGATGAAGGGATCCTTGGAGTAATTGTCACTTAATTCCACCATTCAGGCAGGCATGGGTGTGGAGAGGGTGTATAAGATTTTTGCTTTAGAGTCAGGGGCATCCCTCCTTGGAAGAGCATCTGCTACTTTGTTGGACGACCCTTGTTTGTATTGGATTGTGTAATTTAGACGTAATACCTTCAAAATACCCTTTGGTTGTACTATAGAGGAGATTCTTTAATCTAACAAGTATTTTAAATTGCGCTGATATGTTCTGATGACGAATAAGGTTCCTTCTAAATAGTGCCGCCATTGTCTTACGGCATAGAGAATGACTATCAGTTCTTTTTCATAGACTGACTTTGTTTGATTATTAGGACTGAGGGTCTTGCTTATGAAAGCTATAGGTTGGTTTTCTTGTATCAGGATTGCTCCAATTTCCTTATTACTTGCATCTGTCTCAATAGTAAAGGGATCTCTAAATTGGGGCAGTCGTAAGACCTGGCTTGAAGTCATAGCTGTCTTTAACGACTAAAAAGTTTGCTCTGCTTCTAGATTCCCATTCAAAGGCACCCTTTTTCAACAACTTGGTGAGAGGTTGGGCTATGATTCCGTAATTTTGTATAAACTTGCAGTAGTATCCTGTTAAGCTCAGAAAACCTTTAAGAGCCTTAATCATCCGAGTAGTGAGCCAGTTGACCATAGCTTCAATCTTTCGCAGGTCTGTTTCTACCTCTCAGCCCGACATGATATGCTCTAGATACTCCACCTCTGTCTGAAAGAAACAACACTTGGATTACTTTGTATATAACCTGTTATCTCAGAGTGTTTTTACAATTTCGTTCAGATGGATAAGGTGCTTCTGCTTAGTGGTACTGTAAACTAAGATGTCATCAAAGAAGACCAATACAAACTTTTGGAAAAAAACCTTGAATATGTGATTCATGAGAGCCTGAAAGGTAGCGGGGACATTGGTCAAGCTGAAAGGCATCACTGTAAATTCATAATGACCCTAGTGTGTTCTAAAAGCTGTCTTGTGGATGTTTTCCTTCTTGAACTTGATCTGATGATATTCTGCCGTAAAATTAATTTTAGAGAAGATAGGTGCTCCATATAATTCATCAATAAGATCGTCAATGATGGGTATGAGAAACTTATCTTTTACGCTCAGATGGTTTAGTTCTCTATAGTCCACGGAAAACCTCCACGTACTATCTTTCTTTTTGACTAGTAGTACCGATGAAGAGCATGGGGCAACGACTGGGGCGTATTAAAGAGTCCTTCAGCATTTATTGTATCTGCTTTTCTATTTCGTTCTTTTGATTGAACGAATACCTGTAGGGTCGAATATTCACGGCAGCATCATGTTTGGACAAGGTGCTTACATGCCGAAGGCTCTGGCTGATGGCAACCCCTGGGGTTCCTGAAAGACATCCTGATAATGTCTAAGTAGTGCTTCTAGTGTTGGGTTGGGCATCTCAGAAGTAAGTACCTTCTCTTAAACTTCCATTATTAGAAATACTGTTCTACCTTCGATTGTTTGCTTATGCTTGGTCCATTGTTTCGCCTTTATTTCTCTTGCGTCGGATACTTCGCAAAAGTCACAATTCTGTGATGATATTTATAAATTTTCATAATTGAATCGTACCTTTGCATGGAGGAAGTCAAACATCATTGAGCCAAATTGCTTCATCTAGTCGACTCCTAATATCATGTCATACCCTTCTAGTGAGATGATGCGGAAATTATAGGTGAACTTGCAGCCTTGCATGGTCCACATCACATCTGGGCATTCAAGGTGACCAGATATCTTTTGTCCGTTGGTGACCATAACTGTTAGGGTTTTACTGCTGACCACCTAATTCATGATCCATGTAGAAGTTCCTTCATTTAGGAAGGAATGTGAGCTCCCACTATCCAGTAGGACCAATACATCATGACCTAACAATTTTTCTCGTATTTTCAGGGTGCTCCCTGTGGTGACCCCTTCTATTGCTTGTAAGGACAGAGTGCTAGTAAGGTCATCGCCAACCACTTTAGCTTCCTTAAAGGTTTTATTCTCCAGAGTCTCTTCTGGCATGATCTCATCCACTACCATGATTGCTTTGTTGGAGCATCGGTGTCTTAGAAAATACTTATCTCCACATTTGTAATAGGTTGTTGATCTTTTAGGATCTGCTTCCTTCCCTGTGCCCCTGAAAGATCTATCATGGTATCGGTTTCTTTCTGATGAGGGAGTTTCATAACTAAGAAGATAGGGATTGCAGAGCTCTATAACTAATTGTTCTTGCAATAAGGCTTGTTCGAATGTTTGGTTGAGTGTTTGTGGCTTGAGTATCTTTATCATGGGTTGCAGCTGTGGCCTGAGGCCACTGATAAAAATGGATATAAAAAATCTCTTTGAAAGCGTAAGATTATCTGCATCCATAAGAGAATGTTAGTATTCAAAATTTTCAACAAATTCGAGAACGGTAACTATTTGGTATAAATTGGTGAACTCTTCTATAAAATTTTTTCGGGAAGGTCCTCCAAATCGTTAGCATAGTTCTTCTATGAAATATTCCCAATATAGGGTGATAAACTTCGCTAGCCATCTACAATATCATATCTCGGCAACTTCGCCCAAATATAGGGATGCAATCTGAACTTTTTGTTCATCGGGAGTGATGTGGACCATGAAATACTTTTCACAATGCCAAACCCATCCGTGCAGGTTTCCTCCTTCAAAAAGTGGAATTTCCACCTTAACGAGTGCGTATGTAACGCCCAAACAATTTGGGCATTTTTGTTATTATTTTATTAATTTTATTTATTTA